CATTATTGTATTATAATATATTTTATGTGTATTATATTATTGTATTATATTGTTGTGATAAATTGGCGGCGTTCAAAACACATCAACCTTTTCCACTACAGTTCGTTGCTAGGGAATGACCTCCCGCGGTGTAATTTACCCAGTGTGGATAGACAGAAAAAAGAATGCAGATCTCTGAACAAGTATATTGAAGAAATAAACACAACGAGCCCCCTTTCAGTGAACAAATATAAAATTGAATCAGTTTAACAACATAATTTAAATGAAAAGAAATCAATGCTTGGTTACAAAAGAAGGAAAAATTTACTATCATGTACTCAAATAAAAAAAAATACTAATTTTCTTTACTGGTACAATTACCTGTCAGAGACAGAATTAATTCAATTCGTCATTGCCTACGAGATGTGACCTTTGAGTGCAACGATGAGCGACATCATCACCTATCTTATCCGGACATCGAATCTTCCATTCGACCCTGCTCTGCCAACATTTTTCTAGTCGTCTGGACCTCCACTGGTGCCAGTCGAACATTGATTTGACGATCGTCCCTAGACCTTGACTTCGGCTCAGAATTTGCTCTGGTGCTTGGAATTGGTACAGGAATTTTTCAAAGAATCTCATGAATCGAATCTCGGGAACTTACAGAAGAGTTCAGGAAATCTCGTGAGAGTTTATGAAAGCTTTTTCCTTTTGCCGTTTCTTTTTCGTTTCCAACGAACCACAAATGTAGAGCTTGTCTACTTTCTGAGACAATTCTCACGCTTCATTGCAATCATGAGAGACGTCTTTCACGTTTCCCGGAGCCGATCCCTAACTTCTTTCAAGAAAGATTGAAGACTGAAGAATTTCTTCAAAGCAAAACACTTAATTCCTTACAGAATTACGCTCATAAATCCATATTAACCAATCAGAATAGACTGTTTCCTAAATATTCTCCGTAGAATTTTTTTATTGTCAAGACAGCTAATCATGCCGTAATTAACGTTCTTTTGAACAATCAATTCTTGCCAAGCTTCCCCCTTTAACCTGTTGATTTTGGGAAAAGTCTTATGTCATAACCTTGTACCATAGAATATGACTCGGTCAAGTTTCGTCGCATGGATCGAATTCCCTTTTACGTTCAGAGATGAGATGAAAATAATCATACAAAATTCTCTAGCCCTTTCTACTTTAATTAAGTTGACTTTGATACTATTCCTTTAAACAATGCTTCTAAGAGTTTTCAAAATTCGACACATCACAATTGTATAGCTATCATGATTTTAAGGAGAAACAAAAGGCCCATATACGAATAGAATTACTGACTTACATCTTTACACGTTTATTTTCCAGTCGTGTCTTTAATCACATTGTTACAATTCACATAACAGAGCGAATGTAATTATTCAACCTTACTGGGTTTTATAAGTGTTATTTTTTTAAAATTTGGAAATGACCAATTGCGATTTATTAAATGATAAGCATGAAAAACTGTCTTTTAAATCAATTTCGCTTTTGTTCGGATTCATTTTTATTATATACATGTTCAGTAAGTTTACGAACCATATTTACCAAACACAAAAATATAGAGACAGCTTTGAATGATTTGATGAAACAATATTTAATAAGCAAACGGAAATTTTCAAATCAGACCTAAGTAATAAAAGCAAAACTAATAATAATTATACTCAGGCAGTATTGGTTTTGGATAAACATGGCTATACAAATTTAGTAGATAGGCAGGATTTATATTTATAAACTCTTAGTTCTTGTTAATATATTCCAGCGTTTCAGACAGTGTGTGTGTCTCTGTGTGTGTAAGTGTGTGTGTGTGTGTGCGTGTGTGTGTGTGTGTGTGTGTGTGTGAGAGAGAGAGATTTTAATGTAGCTTTAAAAAACAAAAATTCAATAAAAACCAATAATAATTATTCTCAAGCAATATTGGTTTGGGATAAACATGGCTACAAAATTTAGTAGATAGGCAGGATTTATATTTATTAACTCTTAGTTCTTGTTAATATATTCCAGCGTTTCAGACAGTGTGCGTGTGTGTAAGAGAGAGAGAGAGAGAGAGAGAGAGAGAGAGAGAGAGAGAGAGAGAGAGAGAGAGAGAGAGAGAGAGAGAGAGAGAGAGAGAGAGAGAGAGAGAGAGAGATTTTATTTAATGCAGCTTTAAAAAAAATTCAGTCTTATTGCTAGGGTGTCTGCAGTATAGCAGTTTATAGTGATGTCTAGCACTGCAATTTTGTCACGTCACAAATACATCCATCGTGGCTTTTTTTGCAGCCGGGAAGCTCTAATTATATTATTATAACTGATCTTTGAATTTTTTTTTTTACAAACTGGATTTTATTTCAGTTAAATTAGTATAATAATTCACAGCACATCTAAAATTAAGAGACCGTTTTATTTTTAAGGCCCTTGAATGCCGTAAAAACAAAAATCCAGGCTTGTCCGTGGCGGTTGTTAAATGTGGGAAGGTACTCCTGGCCAAAGGATATGGCTTTGCGGAAGTGTCATCCGGTAGAAGGGCATCCAATACCACAAACTTTGCTGTGGTACCCAACTCGAAGGCATTTGCTGCAACCCTCATGTTGAAACAACTCCATGAGACGAAGTAGGTTACAAATCCATTAACTCAAGAAACAAATTGTAGCCAAAGTCACAAACTTTGAAGGCATATTTAATAACACGTGCATTTTCACAGTAGTAAATTCAGTTCAGTTGTAGCAGTTGACTCCCCTTATCATTTTTGATTATTTAGTCTGTATCAGTAAATGCAAATAAATAATGCTTCACAAAGTTATCCAATGTTTTCTCCACGCAATAATCCTTAGAAATGATATAAAGGCGCGTCGACAAACCAGTTTTCAAATGTTTTTGTTTAAAGACTGATAATAAAATTTAACAAAGAAAACAAGCGATTTGAACAATACAGTAAGATATTTGGAGTGAATAAATTTTGGTTGTACATAAATGTTTTTTTTTAGGAGTCTGTTTGTTGTTGTTCCATTGTTTTGATGGCTTTAACGGCACTTTTAGCACATTACACGTTATGCCACGAGAAGGAAACGTGCTCGTATCGCCTTTCCCAAGAACTCATATCGATTGCCTTCTAAATTTTTAAACTGTAAATAGCAATAACATCGAGCCATATCCACCCTCGTATAACGCGATTGTTAAATCAGACTCAGCTGATTCTGTAATCATTTTAAAGTTAAATTTATATTTGTATGGGTTAAAAGAATTGCAAATCAGAAATAAAATCATGTTTGCGTTGTCGACTAATTCATATTCCTTGACAGCGTTATATGGAGTTGGGGACTATTACACAATAATTTCACAAAATTGCTCAGTCAGTAACATTTATGTGAATGGACGCTTTGACTGGCAAAACAACCAATTTTGTCTATATACTCATTAAAGATCTTCAAAGTTCAGAAGTCATTCAAGATAAATCATTGTACATCGTGTAATTGAACACCGATTGACCTCTAACCTCTTGTGAGTGAAACCAGACTGATGTTCAATTTCTCCAGACATGCGTTATCCAAATGTAACATTTTTATACTGTTTATGAGTGCTTTGTCAACTTCATACAGATTTGTGGGTTAATTACCACTAATAGTTCCGCTTCTGGAAGCGCATTATCATTATTGATATCTTAGCATGACAAACGACAGTGACTGTCTCAATCAATAATTTTAATCTTTGGCTCTAGGCGTCTAAAATATTCAGGTTATTCCGACCTTATTTATGAAAATATCAAGGTGGCAACGCCAGAATTATATTAAATACCGCTCACACAATCGAGAAAAAAAAATGGTGTTACATTTGTCATGATGGGATTGTCTCCATAGAAAAAGAGCAAGGATGTTTCGTGCCAATATTTGTCTTTAAATTAATGGCTGTGATATGGGAAAGTAACGCAAGTAAATCGAGTATTAAATACAATACTGTGAGTAACCAAACATCTAATTTTTGGAGCAGGGGTTGGTGTGGAATTTTCTTTTGAGCCATATTTTTCTTCATATTACCTCGAAACAATTTATTTTGTTCAACTAAGATCGACACAATTAGTTCTTTTTGCTAAACCTTAAGACTTACATGATGGTTGAAAGTAAGGAGGGATAGAGGTTGGTGGACGGAATTTAATATATATATATATATATATATATATATATATATATATATATATATATATATATATATATATATATATATATATGACCCCTCCCAGACATCCATAAAAATAATAGTATGTACCCTGTTTTTTTCTCTTTTACAGATTAAGAATGTTTGTTATATTATTATTATTATTATTATTATTATTATTATTATTATTATTATTATTATTATTATTATTATTATTATTATTATTATTATTATTATTATTAAATGTTTTACATCGATTAATGAAGTATTTCGCTTTTATTATAGTTTGTCGATTTACGCGCACCCAGGGGACATCATTAAGGGAGATTTCCGCTTCAAAAGCAGTTATTACACCAGCTATGTGACCATTAGGGACCTGATGTGCCATGCGTCAGGTTTACCGTCCTATAACTTGATGAGGCTTGATCCTACGCTTACGAAGGCAGAAATGGCCAGGTACGCAAAGCCAAAGTGTTTGCTTATTACACATGCTTTCTTCTGATTTAAATTGTACTCCAAATCAGTTATATACGCTTATAGTCTTTCGAATTACATCGAATACCGTGACGTTTATTAGGTGGAAAGGCTGATGATAAGTACAGGTATTATGAAAGCGTTCTTTATTCTTCAAATGTTGAAGCAGAACGTAACTGTCTGCTTGAGTTTGAACGCAACATAGAAAGAGAAGAAGAGAATAACTAATATCGCATAAGATTGTGTTTCTTTGTGAATATCTCAAAGTCTTTGGTTTTAGTTTACGGTGTTTACGGTGGGGAAAATGCGGATGTTATTGCTATCAACCCCCAAATCCTTCTTTTAAGGTCATGTGAAACGGGATACAATTAAAACTACCTTGACCAATTTCCGCTGGCCTAAGTGGTTAGAGCGTTCGCTTTGGATGCAGGATGTCGTGGGTTCGAAACCCAGCTAAATCATGCCAAAGATAAAGTAAAATGCCAAAGATAAAGTAAAATGGTACTAGATGCTGCCTCGATTGGCTCTCAGCATTAAGAAGTTAATATACTATTGATCGGTCTGGTGTTATGATAACGTGACTGGGTGGGATATGATGCTACATGTCTGAGGCATAACGCACAGTGTAAGATATCACTATAATTTGCCACAAAGCAGATACCGTAACGATACGAATCTCTCTCTCTCTCTCTCTCTCTCTCTCTCTCTCTCTGTCTCACACACACACACACACACAAACACACACACACACGTTATTGTAATGATGAATTTATTCACTGAATTTGATAAATTTTTTTCGGAAATTTCTGTTTTCTGTTTTGACCTGATAAAAACGTAAGTCGATTTCTTCATTTTATTTTTAGCTCCCCTTAGTTGAGAAGTTTGTAAATACTAAGTTAAAATGATTGGTTAGTACCTAGGTCATATTTAAATTACGAGTTAGAAATCTGTAAACAATTTTTTAAAAAAAATCATTTCCAGTTTGAGAATAACTGATTCTTAGATAGTTCTGTGTTGCCCTACGCGATGAAATACTTGTAGTAATTGATCACCTGACCCATCATGCGTTCTGAAATTGCGTTTTAGTGAGGTTTAATTCTCAATCTCAATGTTTCTGAATCAGTCGTAAACAGCACATTTACGTGCTCGATGTGCTTTTAGTGTTGTTGCCAGCTGAATTTTAAAAGTTCTTCTGTTTCTTTTTAATTTAATAATTAATATTCTCTGGAAAACATTCATAAGTGCTTTTCTTCATCCACAAAGACATTCAGTGGAAATTATTTGGAATTCTAAACCCGGAATATTATTCTTGATTCACAAAATTCGGCGACGAACCGTTGACAAATCAATACTGCATTCGTCTTACGTCATTGTCTGCCATCTTTGAACTTTGCCATGGCATGAACTTGTAGTCATTTAGGACTCTTTAGTTATAGGACTTATATTTTTAGATTTCAGGATTAATATATGGGTTCTATTCACAAACTGTAAGTCCTTTTTCATATTTTTACTGTGTTTTCTAGGGACTTGTTTTGTTAAAATATACAAAGCTTGTTTGCTTCACTCTTTGTTTCTTTTGAACGTGCCTAAACGTGACACTTGTTCTTGTTATATGTATATACAGTTTGTTGTATTAACTTCTATTTTGTCATAAATTTACATTTGTTTATACAGTTACGTATAATACAATTTTATTCATCTGTTCTGACTTTATATGATCTACTTTTATTTATTTTCCTTAAGATGAAATGACGGCAATTTTAATGGAATTTTGATTTTGTTCATATATAGTCATTTGTTTTAATACGGCCTGATAGGATCATATTACATAAATTTGATTTAGCTGTATGATCAAATTATTAAATCAATTCAAATAAGGACGAAAAATTTATCTAAATGTTTTGCTGAGTTTTTTTATTCAATTATCATATACTTTTGTTTGTTGCAATCGTAAATGTGCCTATTGCATCTTAAGTGTAGGTTCGAAACTAAGAATAATTTCACAAAATAAATCTGCTGTTGCGCTGCGTAACAAACAGTAGTAAGTGAAATCTTTATTTTAATTCAGAATTACTCTGTTTCTTTCGTAACTAGACATAACTACCTTATCTTGCAATAAACAAACCTCTTGCATTAACACAACTTACTGTACTACTTCTAGACGGGTACGCTACTTAGATACGGTTCATCCTTTTCGGACCACATTCATGTACAGCAATCTGAATTATGGATTGCTAGCATACTGTTCGGAGATCCTCGGTGGGAAGTCATACGAGGATTTGATAAGGGAAACTATATGGAATCGGTACACAATTAATAAAATCCGGTTCAGTACCCACGAATGTAGTCCCAGTCTATTTTTAGATCACTTTTTCCGGTCTAAATTTAGTGGTGATACTAGAGTCAGATTTTGGCATTCTTGGTAAGGATTTAAAGGCAATTGTTTATTCTTTAAAATGTGAGCTTATGGTGTGGTTGTCTGTGTGTATTTCGGCGACAGTGCACATTGAGTAATAAGGTCATGGTGATGATCCGGAAGTGAATTCTGTGTTCCGTTGCCTGGTGTTTTGTTTACAATTCAGCCTCTCAAAAAAATGCAGGTCAACCCTTGACAAGAACTAAACCGTAAAGTCATCTTTGAAGGTATTTTAGATTAACATATGATTTGTATTGATTGTCACACAGTGGAAAGTTCAGTACTGAGAAACAAATGTAGAGAATATATAGTGAAATTAATTGTGTACTATGTCCTGTCAGTAAAAACTTGAAACTGATATAAAATTTTTATTATTAATTACATACACATGAAATTTTAATAGGTTATGTATATTGACTTTAAAAATATAAAAATGAAATTAAAAATAAAAAAATAATTTTAATTTTAAAAATTTAAATGAAATTGAAAAAACAATTAAAAAATAAAAATTTTCCACCAAGTATACACATATATAATATTTTTTGGGAATGATATTAAATGATATCAGCATATATATACTCCTACACCATATACAAGCTCAAATGATGGATATTTGTCAAATTTGATCAGAGAAAATATCTTTATTAGTCAAAATGAGACCCTCATTTAAAATACATGAAGACAAAATTCTACTTTGCTTTGTACCTTTAGGTCATTGAAACTATTTATTTGGGGTTCAAACAGCTAATTTATGTGTTTATGATGGGGTGGCTTCCTGAGTAACACATATCTGCTTGTATAGCTATCAGTAATTGTTTATAACCATAGTTATAGGGTATTTAGTGAGAGGACAGAGATGAAGACTTTATACTAGAACCTGTTCAAGTTCTCTACAAATTCATATTAAGCTGTCAGAGAATGAAATACAGGTCAGAGGGGTAAAATATACTTTACTCAGGTATATTTACCATTGCATGTAAGAAAACAGCAAAATGATGTAAGTTGAACACAGAATGCATTCCATTTTATTGTTCAGTTTCTTTAAGATGTTGATTGATGTAGTGCGACATTGTAGCCTAGATGATATTATGGGAATTCTCATGATCCATTTTGCTTTATGCATTATTAATGACTAATAATATTTGTTATCTGACACTTTAAAGATTACATAAGTAATATTCAAACAGATTATTTGAATTTAACTTTCTACAACTGATCCTAACATGGTTACATAGCTGACATGAACAAATATGCATATATTTTGTAATGTTTGGAATCAAAAGTTGACATTGTTAGGCTGACATGGTACCTATAGTGAATCTGTAAGGCTCAGTTTTGATTGTGTGCACTTAAAATATCCCAAGATGTTATTTTCATCATGAATATGCCTCTGTATGGTAACACATTTCAATTTAGTACTTTGACAGAGGGTGGTATTGCAGCATCAGCTGATATTTCATTCCATTGAATCATTGAATCATTGAACTTAAAACCTTGGTAGCCAAGACTCTTAAAAATAGACTAAAAATATTCAAACAGATTATTTGAATCATGTTTGCACATGTGATTTTAACAAGTACATTGCATATGTCCCACACATGCAAATATCCATCCTTGTTTACAAGTTTTCGGGATGCAAATTTCACATTTAGTTGATGATATAGGATCTATTGGTACCTATAGTTGATCTGTGTGGCCACATTTTGCTATATTCACTCACAATATCTAAAATTGTTTTTTCCTTCATGAATAGGATTGCATATAGTAATAAATTTTAATTTGGTACATTGTCATTTGACTTTCCACTATACTGGTATGTATCAATGTTTGCACCAATGATCAAACCTCACCATTCCAACATTGCCTTAAACTTTATGATACATACTCTACCTGATTAGTTATTTAACCTGTAAATGGCTAAATATGCTTGTAGAAACTTCATCTATTTTTAGGATGCATTTGTCACTTTAATACATGCCCATTGCTTCACATCTTTGAGTGTCACTCTATCAAGTTTACCTTTTTTAACCATATTTGCAACCTGAATGTTATATTGAAATCACCATATCTAACACATTTTAACTTCATTTGCCTACATCTTCCTTTTTTTTAGAATTAAGTGAAACATGTTATATATTTTCAGGTCTAGTCTGGTATCTGAAACAAAGTATTAGAGTTGGATCAATTTGGAAGCTCTCCAGTAGTCCAATGGTGATAGCAAGGTCTCATAAGGACATGTGCAGTGTGCTGCTATAAGTGACCAAGATGAGTTCATATCAGTACACTGATATACAGCATCTCAATGACATGGCTTAGATCTTCATGAGAGAGATTCGCATCTTTTTTCAGTAAGGTGAAACTGTATTTTCATATTGCATTGTTGACTTTTGTAGTTATCGGCATTAAAATGGAATGCATATTTGCTATAAAACATGGTAGTGGTCCCATCAAAACTTTAAATTTGAGTGGGATATTAGTTATACAAACAACTGTCCAAGTACCTGAAACAATAAATGTGGAACATAGTACCTGTCATTGTTTCTTTAGTATGTACACCTATATGCATCTGGATAGGCATATTGTAATTTGCTGTCAAAATCACTGTGAGCTATCATGCTTCAGTACCCCTGGGATTAATATTATCAGTTGTACAGACCTAAACTACTATTTGTTTTAAAGACCATTCATTAATCAACATTGCTGCCTTAAATTTGTCAAACTGAATGTCATAACTTGTATGAAAATTTATTTTTTGTAAAATAAAAAGTTTTTAAAATTTATATATTTTTTTAAATTTTCATTAAAATTTAATATATCAATATTTTTTAATTTCAAGACTATTTTCAGACAGGCCTTATCAAGTATTACAATTAGGTTTTTACTGCATTGAAAAATTCCTATAATTAAGGAAGATATAGCAAATTTAGTTTTGGTTTCTTAAGAACAATTGGACCTCAAATTGCACCCTATAGAACACCAGCACTACACACTTTCTGACAGCTGTCACATGTCTTGCTTGCAAGGAAATTTCAAAAGACTTTATGT